ACAAAGAAGGACAGTTTATTGTTCCGTGGCCAGAAAATAAATATTCCTTGAATTGATAAATGATTATATTGTCTGCTCGGGGGACGGACAGATCAAATAATTGTAATATTGATTCTGCTACAGTTAATTCGAAGATATAATCTAAATATTTATTATGAATCATAACCATTTATGATTCGTCATAAATATTCCCCTTTTTAGAGCTAATAAATAATAATAAACGTAAAACTCTTTATCTGTCAGTCCGATTCCTGCTGTGTAACTCTTACAGATAAAAGCATCTGCTGAATGAGTAACTAGGTATGCTTACATGGACACTTTTTGCTTCCATCGGAATGAATGAATTCTGATTGACGAATCCGAACGTAGTGTTTACACGAACGCTAAATAAAGTAATCGGGTTGATATGCGCATTTATATGTCACTAGCTTTTGATTGGATTTAATCTTTTGGCATGCGCACACTGCATGAATATAGTTTTATAATGACGGGACACTCATTTATGACACTTTATTCACCAGGAAGAACAGCTCGCTCCGTGCGTCATCCGTCATTGCACTATTTTTACGTCACTGCACATGCGCAGTACTTTCCAGTTTCGGTTTTCAATCCGATCAAGTGTTTGCATGTCCTCTCCTTCGGATTAGAAAAAGGAATAAACCACCCCTTACAATCCGATTGAAATCTGAATCGGATCTGGCCAATTCAATCCGATTGATGTGGTTACATGCAGGGACGGACTGAGAGTAAAAAAAATAGCCCTGGATTTTCTCCCAAATAGGCCCACCACAACTACAAACAACCGCTAATATCTCACAATATTACAGCAATCCTGTCGCATTCATAGCAAATAACATCACAAAACCCATGGTGACCCTGCTGACAAAAACAATAGAAACCATCACATAAATTCTAATGGTTTCCACTACAAATACCATTACAAACATTACAAACCATCAACTTTTAATCATTAAAACAATTAAATAATGGTTTCCTGTAGTGTGTTTTGGGACAGGTTCCATTAGGATTTAGTGGTTTTAACAATAATATTTAACAACAATAATAG